CTGGGTCCATTCAGACACAACATGAAGCACCTGCTTGCACAAAAAAACATTTTATCACTCAGCCTTCTGTGTGCATAATTACGCGCTGCGTAATTGCGTGCTCCTTGTGCAGGAACGCACCAGAGAAGATCTCTGGTGAGGAAAAAAAAGGCTGTGATAGCAGACCTGCTGCTGTGAATAGGAACAACGAAGGATATGAATTGTAACAGTGTAACGATAAACAGAGCAGACCAACAGCTCCTCAGGATGAACCGGTTAATAACAATAAAATCAGCAGTCATGAACTTGTGACTGATAATAAATATCTCACACTGAGACTGCATGCAGGCACGTGTGAGCTCAAAAAAGAGGCTCCATTAAACAAATAATCATTCTGTCAGAACACTGAGAACAGAATGGGTCATGGAGAAAGTAGAAACATCATGAATAATTGAACATGGCGATGACCAGGCAGCCGCCATACAAATATCCTCCACTGTCATCCGTCCATGCAGAGCCATGGAGGATGAAAACCCTCTGGTGGAATGCGCTGAGATTCTCTGGAGGATCCAGTCCAGATGAACTGTAAACTTCAGAAATAGCCTCACACAACCAATGTGAGAGGCGTTGGGTGGATAGCTGTCCCAGTAATGCACGAACATACGCTGAAAACGGCGCAGTGCGGCCGTGTGTGCCACGTAATATGAAAAATGCGCGCATGGGACAGAAGGAGGTGAGATGTTACTTCCTCCTTAGAATTATGAGGAAGAGGATAAAACCCATCCAAGGTTATCACTCTCGATCTGAATGAGCTTGTGATGTTTTTCAGAGCAGGGATAAAATGCAGTACATCTGAGCTGCCGCCAGCTTGAATTCTGAGACATGAGGAAGTAACAGAGAGAGCAAACAAACACTCACTCTCTTTGCCAACGTCAGAACTAACAGCAGGGCTGTTTTAATGACAGAATTTAAGTGAAACCTGATCTAAAAAGCTCAGAAGGAGCTTTGATCAGAGCGTGCAGGACCATCATTAGGTCTCACTGTGAAGCTAGTGGACGTGACACCGGTCTGTGTCTCCGTACACCTTTCAGGAAACGCTTCATCAACGGGTGATTAAGAACTGTTCTGCCACTGAAGCCCTCGTGACAGGAAGAAATATCTGCAGCATAAGTTTTAATTGTGCTGAACGCTAGATCTCTTTCCATCAGCTGCTACAGAAAGGACAGCATGCCACCTAATGGCCATAAGATGGCCTCCACGCCTTTCTCTGCGCACCAGCGCTGAAAAACTGTCCACTTAGATGTGTACAGCGTTGTGGTGGAAGCAGCTCGTGCGCCCTGAACGTACGCACCACATCCTGTGGGAGGCCCATCTTTTCTAAACAGATCTGTTCAGCGGCCAGACCCAAAGATGCTGACCTATTGCTGGGTAACTCCTGAACGCTCTTCATGCCTGGTGGAGAGCCCCCCCCCCCCCCACACACACACACACACACACAGCAGTTCCTATGGCCAACTCAATATCAGTCGCTGCAGATTCGGGAACCACGGAGCACATATTCGTTGGGGAGCTACGAGGATGACTGATGGTTCTTCCTCCCGGACCTGGTCCAGGGTCCGTGATATCGGCAGGACTGGAGGGAACGCATAAAGGAGCATTTTTGACCATGGGCTGTGAGCAAAGGCGTCCACTCCTAACGGTGGGTCGTCTCGTGGGCTCATTGAGAACCATAATTGACACTGGGCGTTCTCCCATGTGGCGGACAGATCCATTGCTGCTCGGCCAAACCTGCTCCAAAATCTGAGAAATCAGCTCGGGATGGAGGCTCCAGCCTCTGTGGTGGGGATTGCCCCTCGACATGATTTCCGCTTGCCTGTTCAGGACGCTGGGTATGTACACTGCTGTGATTGAGAGCAGGTTTTTGTGTGCCCAACACAACAGCTGTTTCGTGATACATAACAGTTTGGCTGAGCGCATGTCTCCCTGACGGTTTATGTAAACTGTCATCACTTGTTGTCTATGTGGATCAGAACATGCTGATCCCGCAGCAGGGGGCAAATGCTGAGTCACGTTTCAGACCGTGAAACATTCTAGCACATTATGTAAAGCGACATGTGGTCCAGCCACTGTGCTCCCACTGCTTGGGACAGACACATTCCTCCCTGCTTGACAGGAACACGTCTGTGAAAACTGAGACGTGTGGCGTAGGCCTGCTGATGGGAGCTCCCTCTGACAGAATGAGAGAGTTTCCCCAGTGATTCAGATCGGTTCTCACGGAGAGGGAACCAGGAAGTAGTGGGAGGAAAAAAAAACGTATTTTCCTCTCCGTTGGGAACTCTGGAAATCACGTTTTTTTCGTCAGAAATTCCTGAACTTCTGACTAAGATAATCCACCTCTTCTGGTGCACAGGATCTATGCGCAGGCAGGCGAACCATCTCTGAAGGCGTCTCATGTGAAGTAGGCCCAGCGGAACCACGATGTGGGCTGCTGACATCGTCCCAGGAGTCACATGACAGGCAGAACTGTCACTATGCTGCAGGGTTTGACACGGAGGAGCAGAGCTGATAGAGCTTCGGCTCTCAGCTGTGATAAACGGGCTCTCATTGTAGTTGAGTTAGCTCCACTTCCAGATAAACAATCAACTGGGACGGACAAACGGAAGCTTTTCCCAGTTTATAAAAACCCTAGGATTAGCAGGTGGAACACTAGCGTTTTGGTCTGTGCGACAGCTTTCTAACTGGACCGAGCTAATAAGAGCATATCGTCCAGATAAAAAGAATTCTCATTCATGCCATGTGTAACGACTACAGAGCCGTCTCCACACATTTCGAGAACGTGCGTGGGGTGTTTCAGAATGATGGAAATGTGAAAATATGCACTCTTCAGATCTATGGAGGTGAAAACCAATCGTTCTGGTGAAGTTCTCCAGCAGCTGTTTGTCAGCATGTGGAATTGTCTCCCCATGATCGAATTGCTGAACATGAACAGGTCGAGAATGGACTTATCCCTCCAGTTTTTTCTCAGAACCAGGAAGTAGTGGGAGGAAAAAAAAACATATTTTCCTCTCCGTTGGGAAATCTGGAAATCACGTTTTTTCGTCAGAAATTCCTGAACTTCTGACTGGAGAGACGAGCTCTGTTCTGGAGAAGATAGAACCGTCTCTATAATCCCTCTGAATGGTGGGGGTTGAGCTGCGAACTGCAGCATGTAACCCCTTCTGATCAGACGGTCCGTCCATCTGTCCAAGGAACACACTCGCTGCCACTCTGAGTAATGCTCGTAGAGCGGGCACGCATTTGTGTTGTCTTGTTTCTCATGAACGTCAACCAGACTAAAAATCCTTACTGCCATCACTCGCTCCGGAGATCCTCTGGGGGGGGCTCTGACAGAAAAAGGGCTGTATGTGTGCCTCTGTGCTGAGCCCAGGCTGCGATCTCACATAGAGCTGAGGTGAGCCGGTGTGCACTGAGAGGAGGCGTGAGTGCTTTCTGAGTGAGACACAGTTTCTGTGGAGGCTGCAGCTGTCTTGGAGAAAACACGTTTACTCCCGATGCGCTGTGAGTGGGCAAAAAACAGCAGAAATTAAAATTGGGCTCTGGATGAAAACAAGGGATTTTACCAGACTCTGTCTGCTGAAAAAACATCAATTTAGCTGATGTGGCAGACGAGTGTTTTGTGATATTTACTGAAGTGCAGTGCCATTTAAAACGCTGTTTAAAGGTTACTGGCTCAGTCTGTGTGGGGAATGTGTGAAGAGAGGCAGCTGGGAGCTCAGCTGATCTGACCATCTCAGATGAAAAAACTTTACTTCCAGATGTGTTTCTGTTTTATATCAAAAAATATACATCATCAAAAAAACACATACCTTCCCCTCAAGGATCTGTTACCTGGTGGAGGGGGCCGGCAGAGGAGTGGGGCATGAAGTCGCTGCCGCAGCTGTGGAGCACCTCAGCTGCTGTTGCTGACCAAGGTGGTCCTTGCAGCGGCCAGAGGGGCGAGAGGAGGACTGTGACGTCACGAGATGGTGTACAGTCTCTGAGACCTCCTTGGACCGCTGCGATTTCTCAGAGATGGTCCTGAAGTTGGCCCCGAACAGCACCTCTGGGGTGATGAGGCCCTCCAGCAGGTCTTTCTGCAGCGTCTCGGACAAGGATGGCGAGAGGCGGAGCCAAGTGGTCCTCTGGATCATGGTCATCCAGGCGGTGGTGCGGGATAGGCAGACCACAGAGGTGGCACATGTTTAAGATGACATCAGCAGTTTACAGAGAGAGAACTCTTTGTCTCCTCCAGCAGGTCTGCTTCCTCCAGCCTCCAGGGGGGGGACCGAGGGAAAAAACACAGATCGGTAAAACCCTCCACTCTGGAGATGGAGGCGAAGGTGGAGACAGATGTCTTCAGCTTGCCGGGCCCAGCTGCAGCCTCATTCCAGTGTGACGTCACAGCTGGACAGCGAGGCCAGATGGGGTCAGGGCGACGAGTTGGGGTGGAGCCAAACTTGCCGCCAGATCATCCGATCAGGGTGGAGGGAGGCGAGGGACAGAAAGTCCCTTGTGTTAACATCCTCCTGGATTATGCTGGGCAGCTCCTAGAGGAGGGCGCCGACGGCTGGGAGTGATGTGGTCGCCGACGTGGGAAGACCTGAGGTGGCTGAGCATCCGCTCGGCCGCTCGTCTTCCATCACTACGCTCTCCAGGAGGGAATGGGCAGCTCCGCATCGCCTTTCTCGGAGGAATCATTCAATTCACTCAATTCACTGCGTGACTCTGCTTCAAAGAAGGCGGTGGCATCGTCCCGCACATAGCGTCCCGCCACAGAAAAAAACACTCAGCGGAGCTGCTGCCAACAATGCCTTTTTCGAGGGAATCATCCGATTCATCTCGAGAAAAAACACGTTAGAAAAGGTGGTGGCGTCGTCCAGCGAGTAGCATCCTTCCACGGAAAAACATTCAGCGAGGCTGCTGCTAACATCGCCTTTGAGGAAATCATTTGATTACCGCGAGGAAAAACACGTTAGAAAAGGCGGTGGCGTCATCCAGCAGGTAGCGGCCCTCCACGGAAAAACATTCAGCGGGGCTGCTGCTAACATCGCCTTATTCGAGGAAATCATTCGATTACCGCGGGGGGGGAACGTTAGAAACGGCAATGGTGTCATCCAGTGGGTAGCGGCCCGCCACGGAAAAGCACTCCTGGGCGCTTACCTTGAACAAGGCTGCTCGTCTGCTTCTCCTCAGGGAGGAAGAGCTCACTGGGACGGCAGGAGGTTGGCGTGGCGGAGACCCAGGCATCCTCAGCAAAGGTTATGCCGGTCAAAGCTGGACAACTTTTCCTTCTTCGTTCTTCTGACAGTGCTAGCTAGCTGGCTGAAGAAAAAATGGGAGCCGATTACCCGGTCACACCGTAATTTATACGGACCGGGGGTGAGGCCCACATAGCAGGTGGGCGTGGACTAAAGTTTTCAGTGCTGCGCTGCGCGCCTAGGGATAAACCCACTAGCGACAGTCTTAAAGGGCAAAGCCTATATGAAATAGAACAGCAGATATTATCTGTGATTCCCAACATAGGCCCTTGAGGAACACCATCCTACATGTTTTAGTTGTTTTCTTCTCCAACGCACCTGACTCAGTGATTTAATTACTTCCTCGTGTTCGGCAAAAGCCTGTTAGTCACCCATTCATTTAAATCAGATGTGTCAAAGCAGGGAAACAACTTAAACATGCAAGATGGTGTTCCTCAAGGACCAGAGTTGGGAACCATTGAAAGTGACTCTCAAAACCTGATCAAACTCACCCTGAGCTTCAGATTCAGCACACGGCAACCCAAAGCCTTTCTAACAAGTCCAGTTTTTCCTGTCTGTGTGCTGATTAAACTGAGCTCTCCTCCCCCCACCCCTGATAAAAACCTTTGTTTGCTGCATCACTTGTCACCAGACTGACTCTTGTCACTCTGTTCTGTCCCTATGTTTCAAAATAAAGAAACTTTATTGGACTGTGAAGGTGAGACACAGCCGTTAACCCCTCCTCTCCACCCTGCAACAGCCCGACCCCTCTTTTTTTAAAATCTGCAACCTCACCTGATAGGACGCTCTGCATGCCTGTCTTGCTTCCCCTCCCGCCTCCTGCTCCTAGCCTCCACCCTCTTTGGTGGTGCTGATGTGTTTGCACGCTTCTTGGTTCTGTTTTAATCGTATGCATGTGCATCTACAGCGCATGGAGACCAGAAGAGGTCAGTCACCTTTACAGAGAATCGAAGCCAGCAGGCCACGCCCATCTCTGTGGAGCCGCCAACTGAAAGCAGGAAGGTCAGTCCTGCTCTATCAAAGTCGCCAACTCTGGAGATTCCCCCTGTCATTTGTGCGACTGTCACTGCTGACCTGCACACTCAGGTAAGAAGGAATTAGTTGTAATACCCTGTTCAGACCTGTTGTTTAAATCCATCCATCCATCCATCCATTATCTTCCGCTTGTTTCGAAGTCAGGTTGCAGGGGCAGCAGCTTGAGCAGGGAGGCCCAGACATCGCTTTCCACAGCTTTTGCCTCAGCTACAGCCAAGGCTGTGGACTGCTTGTCCGTCCGGTACTCCTCAGCTGCCTCTGTAGTCCCATTGGCCAACAAGGACTGATAGGACTCTTTCTTCAGCTTGACAGCCTCCCTAACCCAGGGGAGCAAACCCTCACTACACATGTGGGTCTGTTGGGCATCTTCCCCACCATCTGTTCCAGCTCACTACCAGGTGGTGATCACTTGACCGCTCATCACCTCTCTTCACCCAAGTATCCAAAACAAATGGCTGCAAATCAGATGACATGACTATGAAGTCAATCATTGATCTACGACCTAGGACGTCCAGGTGCCAAGTGCACTTATGGACTCACTTTTGTTCTAACATGGTGTTCATGATGGACAAACTATGACTAGCATAGAAGTCCAGAAACAGAGCACCACTCAGGTTCAGACCAGAGAGGACATTCCTCCCAATCACGCCTCTCCAGGCCACACTGTCATTACCCATTGAAGTCCCCCAGCGGAGTCCCCAGCTTGTGCACCTTCCATTACGCCCACTAAGGACCGTCAGGGTTTATCAGGCAGGAATGAACCCAATAGATGCAGGCAGGGACTCGGACTCAGAAGATACAAAAATAAATACTTTTAATGATAATAAATTAAATAGCTGACGTGGCAGCACACTTACAAAACTGGGAATACAACTCAGGTCAGGACTGGAACACATCAGATCAGGACAAGACAGGGTAGACCCAACGACGACACGACAATGAACAAGACTAATAGACAGACTATATACCCAGACAAGACAGGATGTGATTACAAACAGCTGGCACAAGACAAGGGTGAAATTAATTGGATAAATGATGAGACACACAAGGGAGTACAGACAAGGAAGGACCACAGATGGCGCCATCCTTACAGTACACCCCCCCCCCCAAGACCCCCCCCCGGAACCCCAAAAAAACCCCCCCCCCCCCCAAGAAAAAAAAAGGCTTGGGTGGGCGGAGGGAGGAACTGCAAGGATGGAGGGCCCAATGAAACAGGAGGACAAACAAACTGATGAAAACAAAACCTGGGAACACAACTAAACACAAATAGGTACACACAAAAAGAAAAGTCTGAGCGGTCAGGTGACCGACCTGGCAAGGTCATGGTTCTGGCGGGTGGCCGGAAGGCTGTCCATCAAACCGGAATGGGTCAGGAGGGCGGCCAGGAGGACGACCATCAGACCAAAGCGGGTCAGGAGGGCGACCATCAGACCGAAGCAGGTCGGGCGGGCGGCCGGGAGGGCGACCATCAGACCGAAGCAGGTCGGGCGGGCGGCCGGGAGGGCGACCATCAGACCGAAGCAGGTCGGGCGGGCAGCTGGGAGGGCGACCATAGGACTGAAGAGAGTCGGCGGGCGGCCGGGAGATCGTCCATCGAGCCATTCTTCAGGCAGGTCGAAGCCGAAGATCTCAGGTGAATCGAGGCCAAAGATCTCAGGCGAATCGAGACCTAAGATCTCAGGCGAGCCAAGGACGAAGACCTCAGATGAACCAGGGGCGAAGACCTCAGATGAAACAGGGGCGAAAACCTCTGCGGAAGGACCAGAAGTGAGGGCCACAGCAGGCGGGTCAGTGGCGAGGAACTCGGCAGCGAAGAGCTCTTCTGCGGCTGGATCTTTGGCGGCAGGATCTAGAGCAGGAGCGGAGTCCGTCTGGACCCCCATGGCTGAGCAAGCAGGAGCAGAGTCCCTCTGGACCCCCATGGCAGAGCGAGTAGGAGCAGAGTCTGTCTGGACCCCCAAGGCTGAACAGAAAGGAGCGGAGTCCGCCTGGACCCCCTCGGAGCAGGAAACATGAGAAGCGGAGTCCGCCTGGACCCCCTCGGAGCAGGAGACGTGAGGAGCGGAGTCCGCTTGGACCCCCTCGGAGCAGGAGACGTGAGGAGAGGAGTCCGCCTGGACCCCCTCGGAGCAGAAGACGTGAGGAGCGGAGTCCGCCTGGACCCTCTCGGAGCAGGAGACGTGAGGAGAGGAGTCTGCCTGGACCCCCTCGGAGCAGGAGACGTGAGGAGAGGAGTCCGCCTGAACCCCCTCGGAGCAGGAGACGTGAGGAGCGGAGTCCGCCTGGACCCCCTCGGAGCAGGAGACGTGAGGAGAGGAGTCCGCCTGGACCCCCTCAGAACAGGAGACGTGAGGAGAGTAGTCCACCTGGACCTCCTCGGGACATGAGACGTGAGAGGCGGCCTCCAGGACCCCCTCGAGACATGAGACGTTAGGGGCATTCTCCAGGACCCTCTCAAGACATGAGACGTGAGGGGCGGTCCGGTGTGAAGGGGGGGTCACACCCTAGATGGGAGGAGAGGAGTCCACCTGGACCCCCTCGGGACATGAGACGTGAGGGGCGTCCTCCAGGACCCTCTCGAGACATGAGACGTGAGGGGCGGTCTGGTGTGACCCCCCTTTGTCAGGTCTTTAGACGAATGGGGGGTGGAGAGCGGGGTGACAGGACTGATCCTTGAGGGAGCTTGGTACAGGAGTGAGGTGCCAGATTCCACCCTCACCGAAGTACTAGGAGGTGAGGCGTCCAGATTGGCTCTCTCAACAACACCGGAACCAGGTCTCGGAAACTCAGCCTCGCCAAACCGAGTTGGATTTGGAGTCGCTGTCAGGGATGTGGGCGAAGGTTTCGTGGATTGTTTCTGGTTTCGTCTTCTGCCGCCCCGGCGGCGACTGTGGGGAGAGGGGGCAGGAATGAGATAGAGCTCGTCCTCCAGTTCCGCGTCCTCCCCCGACGTCCACACCGAGTAGCCGAGCGGCGCTGGAGAAAATTTTGTCTCGGGTGCCTGGTGTTCTCCCCAGGGCAGAGACCTTCTCTCTTCCTCCAGAACCAGGAGAAGCGTAGACAAAACTTCAATTGCCAGGCAGTGAAGACTTTGTGTTCGGATGGGTTCAGTTCGGAACCCACCCACCGGATTACAGGTTCTCCCATCTGTGACTTGTAACAGACAGGTGAGTAATTCTGAGAGGAACCCTGCCCTCTGGGTTCTGTGTAGGTTGCGTCGTTCTGTTAGGGTTTATCAGGCAGGAATGAACCCAATAGATGCAGGCAGGGACTCTGACTCAAAAGATACAAAAATAAATACTTTTAATGATAATAAATTAAATAGCTGACGTGGCAGCACACTTACAAAACTGGGAATACAACTCAGGTCAGGACTGGAACACATCAGATCAGGACAAGACAGGGTAGACCCAACAACGACGTGACAATGAACAAGACTAACAGACAGACTATATATTCAGACAAGACAGGATGTGATTACAAACAGCTGGCACAAGACAAGGGTGGAATTAATTGGATAAATGATGAGACACACAAGGGAGTACAGACAAGGAAGGCCCACAGATGGCGCCATCCTTACAAGGACTCCAAGAAGGTTGGATATGCTGAACTGCTATTGAGCGCGTAGGCACAAACAACCATCAGAGCCCGTCCCCACACCCGAAGGGGCAGGGAAGCTATCCTCTCATCTACCGGGGAAAACTCCAACACACAGGCACCAAGTCAGGGGGCCAAAAGTAGACCCACACCAGCTCAATGCCTCTCACCATGGGCAACTCCAGAGTGGAATGAGGTCCAGTCCCTCTCAAGGAGATGGGTTCAATGTCCCATGGCGTGCAGTGAGGTGAGTCCGACTATATCTAGTCAGTACCTCTCAACCTCACGCATAAGCTCAGGCTCCTTCCCCACCAGAGAGGTTACGTTCCATGATCCAGTTTTGGTAAGCCAGGGTCAGAGCGCCAAGGCCTCCACCTTTGACCACTGCCCATGGAGTCCATGCACCCAACTTGTATGACCCCTCCTGCAGATGATGGGCCCACAGGAAGGCAAAACCATGTTACTTGTCAGGCTGAGCCTGACCGGGCCCCATGAGCAGAGACCCAGTAACCAGACGCTTGCTGACAAGCCCCTCCCCCAGGCCTGGCTCCGGGGTGGGGTCCTGGTAACCCACGTTCATTTTTAAATCTGTCTTTATCTATCACGTTGCATTCAGAAAGCTTGAAGTCCACATACGTTTGGTTGTCTGAATATAATCTGGCTTGAGTCCATCCCCACAGCAGAGTTATTACTAGAACGTTCCGGCATTTAATGTTTTTATGATTCAGGCTCTTTTATCTAAAATTTCTCATGAACTCTTTATCAGAATTCTTCTTAATAAAAATGTCTCTTCAGTTTAAAGTTTGTTCTGATTGATTTTGGATCCCCTGTGGTCATTGTAAGCATTTTCTGTCTTTGTCTTTGCACTAACACGGAGCTCTGTGAAGTCACTGATCGTTTTACGCTCCTTCGTTTACCCCGTATCTCAACACCAATTAAAAGTTAGCGTAATATAACTGACACTGAATCACAAAAACATTTTGAGATTTACATTCAGTGGCAGATGTAAACGCTCTCAGTCGGGGCGAATCGCTGGAGGTGGATGTTTAATGAGAGGTCTGAACAGGGCCTCAGGCTCTAGTTTGGGATGCTTTGAGATAGGGATGCACGATATTGGATTTTTGGCCGATATCCGATATGCCGATATGTTAAAACTTATTTGGCCGATAACCGATACTGATGTTTTATATATATTCCTTTGTCAGAACATAGCCCTCGTATTTAGGCTTATTTGCTACAAAAATTGTGCAACAGCTGTAAGAGCTGGTGACATATTCAGTAACAGCCATATGTAATGCATAGCACTTTGACTTATATTAAATGAAAAGCATTAAATGTTATTTATTAGCATTAGTCACATGCAATGCTGTCTCACTTGTAGAGGCTTGTTCCAGGTTCCTAACTGCAGTGTGGAATCCTCTGCACTCCTTTGCATGAAAGACAACCATTTTAAGTTCAAAGTTTTTGACTATCCATTGTGCCATAAAACTAATCATGCTAACGGGGCTAACATGACGTCCAAAGTTGTGCTGCCGCTGCAGGCATCCTTGTCACTGGGTTGTCATACAAAAACAGCGTATTTTATATCGGTGAGTTATTTTAATGGAATGTCCGGTATTGAACTTTAACGCTAATATCGGCCGATACCATGCCAATAATATCGTGCATCCCTACTTTGAAACTGTAGAAACAAGGTGTGTTCTCCTTCAGGTTCCTTCAAACAAAAGCAGCAAGGAGAAGAGGGAGCAGTGGGGGCTCCGCAGCAGTCTTTCTCCACCCCCCTCCACTTCCCGCCCGTCCACCCCGTCACCCCCGTCCCGAACCTGCTCCCCTCTTCCTCTGTCCCGCACTTCCTCCCCAGTTCCTCCTCCTCTCCCAGTGTTGAGCACAGCGCCCACCTCAGGGCCCCCTCCGCCACCGCACTCCAGCATCAGGGAGAGTCCCGGCGACGAGGACACGACCGCGCTGCTGCCGCCCAGCGACACCCGTCTGCGGCTCAGCGAGGACGGAGGCACGGAGAACCCGCTCCTTGCCCCGCTGCTGTCCACCCCGTCGCCACGTCTGTCCCCTCTCCCACTGTCCCCTGTTGACCTGGACTTGGACGAGTCCCACGTCTGAGAGGCATGACGCAAGAACAGCGAAAAGTTGAGGAGAATTTTAGATTTAAACGAGTGACAATCACGACGTTTGACAGAAGTGGAGAAATCCACCGACATCTTTCTGTTACAGCCTCACCAAACTCCTCTTTCTTTTAACGAAAGCATCACGAAAATCTAAACTCAAGTTTATTTTGAATGTAAAACAATCATTTCCTCAACTTTAAACCATTTCAGGCTGAAAATCAAAGATTTATTTTTTCAGTTATTCGCAGTAAATAATAGATTTTTTTTTAACTATTATCGCCTCGAAGAAGTTTAAATAAAAAATATGTATATATTGAAAAAGTATAATGGTGGAAATCTTTATCAGAGCCATTCCGAAGCTAAAGGTTATTTAAATCTTATTATACGAAGTTAAATGTTTTAAACGAGAGAAATGTTCAGATATTTCCGTCTGTGTGTTGGTTGGATTGGAGCTAATTGTGTTTTAAGCCATGATAAAGCAGCTGAAGCTACTTGTTTTAATACAAAAGCAATATTAAATCATGAGTGCCCCTTTTAAACATATTTATCCATTTGTTTTTAAATGTTATAAAGTTTTGAATGAGTTCCTGGAGGACAGGTTAGTGGAAATGAGGAGAAACTCATTTCCAAATATTTGATGCTGCTGCTTCAACTTTCAGACGTCTGAGTTAAGTATTTTTTGTGCTGCTAAGTGTTTTCACATTAAATTTTGTTTGTGACCAAAAACTGTAGCTTGTGTCTCAGCCATTTCTGCAGCTAAATAGATTATTAAAAAAGGTAAAAGTTTAGCTTTTGTTAAGGAACTCATCCTGTTGCAGTGCTGCTTTCGTCAGAGTCTGTGATGTCTAATTAAAAAAGAGACTTCTTGTAACCTAACTGTGATGAAATGAAGAAACCTCGCTGCTCATTTCAAGCCTTAACAAGGAAACGCATCCATATCCACAGAAATTATAATTTATTATGGGGAAAACCATTTTGGACAGCAGAAAATCTGTTTCGTGCCAAAAGTCCCACCAACCCACTGTGAGTTGTCATTAGCTGCTTTTTCTCTTTGTCTTTTGACTGTTTATCACACAAAAAAAACAAAAAACATTTATGTCAAAGAATATACAGATGAGGTACATATACAATATTTAAATTTATAATCTTAAATAAAGAAGTGACTGTTTTATTTAATTTACCACCAAAATGTCAGAGGTTCTCTGTTGTGCGTTTTTGCCACTAGGAGGCAGTATACATGCGCAAAACTGTTGTTTTCCTTGAATTGTGTTAAATTATGTCTTTTGTCAAAGTTATAATAAATCTACATTATATCAAAGTCTTTCTGCAATATTTAAATAAACTGATATTGTTTACACTGTTTTAGAGCTTTGTGTTTAGCTACTAAAAAAAACGTTCTGTTGAAGTTGGTTTGGAGCAGAACAAGAGGAGAAAGTTCGGTATTCAATTCTAGCATTTTGTTCCTTTTCACCCACTTCCTTACTGACTTTTATGTTTATAAATTAGTTTGATGGTATTTTATGTTGTGAGAGCGAAATGTCCTCAGCATGCGATGTTGCCGAGTGTCGGAATGACCGCAGAGCAGCTGAAACTTTTTCAAAGAACTGGAAGTAGGCATGAATATATCTAGACCACAATGCATTGCAAAATGCTGACTGAGCATGCACATTAGCAAGTGCAAAAATGTCAATAAGGCTAATAAAACAGCATCATTCTTTTGCTATATAAAACACTAGAGGGTGCTCTGGTCACATGACCATGTGATTCACTGGAGCAACGGCGGCCATTACCAAAACAGGCAAAGGTGTGCACTGTACATTTTACCATACCATACCAATTTATTTCTAAAGCACTTAAAATACAACATAGCAGCCGTCCGAAGTGCTGTACAAAAATAAAAACAAACAAAAAACAACAGTAAAACAAGTAAATATATAAAAATAATAATTAGAACATCACAAGTAAATGAATACAACATTAAGACAGAGATGCTAGTTCACTCTAGATTAAAAGCCAATGAAAAAAAAGTGTTTTTAAGCGAGTTTTAAAAACAGAGATTGATAGGGCCTGCCTGACTTTCAGCGGCGGCTCATTCCACAATTTAGGAGCCAGAGCTGAAAAGGCTCCGTCTGCTCTGGATTTATGGGGGCCGAGATGGTGCAGGGCAGCCGGCTTGGGACCCGAAAGTCCCAGGTTCGATCCCCAGTCACTGCATATCACGTGGTGTCTCTGGGCAGCACACCTCATCCCCAAAATGCCCCCCGGGCACTTTCAATAGCTGCCCACTGCACCACCTGGAGGTAGATGGGTTAAATGCAGAGACTAATTTCACCATTGTATGGAAACATACAGTGCTGACATTGTGATGACATTATTATTATTATTATTTATCAAAGGTTTTCGGGACTGCTAAAAGCATCTGGTCAGAGGATCTAAGAGCGCGTGATGGCATGTAAAGGTGAAGCAGTTCAGACAAATAAGAAGGACTAAGACCATTCAAAGACTTAAAAACAAACAATAGAACTTTAAAATGGATTTGAAACTGAACAGGAAGCCAATGAAGGGATATCAAAACTGGAGTAATGTGCTCACACCTGCCTGTACCAGTCAAAAATCGTGCAGTAGCATTTTGTAGCATTTTGTACCAGCTGTAACCGTGAGAGCGAGGCCTGGCTAACTCCGATCAAAAGAGAGTTACAATAATCCAGGCGTGAAGTAATAAAAGCATGGATTACTGTCTCTAAGTGGTGTCTAGAAAGGAGGGGTTTGATTTTTGACAGGCGCCTCAGCTGAAAGAAAGAGAACTTAACCATGCTGTTGACATGGCAGTCAAGTTTCATGCAGGGGTCCATTTTCACTCCTAAATTTGAAACAATTGATTTTTCATATGGGGCCACAGAGGAAAAATCAAAGGTGGGGAAACTGCTAGGACCACTGGATTTAAAGACCATAACCTTGGTCTTTTTTTTTTATTCTTTTTGTTATTAAAATGGAGGAAATTAAGTGCCATCCATCCTCTGTCATCGAGACAGTCCAGGAGTGACTGAGTGGAGCCATTATGTTTCAAACGGAAGTAGACTTGGCCATTATGTTTCAAAGGGAAGTAGACTTGACAGTCATCCGCATATAAATGAAATTGCACACCATGCTTTCTGAAAATAGAACCCAGTGGCAGAAGATAAAGTGAGAACAGGAGAGGACCAAGAATAGAGCCCTGGGGTATCCCCCCCCCCCCCCCCACACACACACACACACAGGGGAGGGCAGCAGAAGCAGAGGTAAAATTATCCATCACCACACTGAAACTTCTAGGACTTAAACCACTGAAGAGCTGAACCAGTGATGCCCACCCACTGCTCTAATCTGGAGATGAGAATGTCATGGTCGACTGTGTCGAAAGCAGCTGTTAAATCTAAAAGCACAAGTAAAACACAGTTTCCAGAATCCAGTGCTAAAAATATGTAACTAAAAACCCTTGAACAAATTCAGTGCTGTGGTACGTTTTGAAACCAGACTGAAAGACCTCCAAGATTTTTTTAATTCATCCATAAAGGCCTTCAGCTGGGTGTAAACAATTTTTTCCAAAATTTTGGATATAAAGGGTAACTTTGAGATTGGCCTAAAGTTTGACAAAGAAGATGGATCAAGGCCAGGTTGTTTCAACAATGTCTGCACCACAGCATGTCTAAAATTACTTGGTACCACACTAAACATCAAACTGCTGTTGATCACATTTAGGATAAAGGAGCCAACAGTAGAAAATACCTCCTTAAGAAAACATGGAGGAACAACATCAAGGGGGGAACCCGATGATTTCATACTGGTGACCAGTTTCTCTAGATAGGAGAGGGAAATAAGCTCCAAATGATCAAAAACAGCAGGACAGGGGATTTTAGTAGATGTTGGCTAAATAGCCCAAATAAGTGCTGACTGTAAAAAATGTCAAAAGTAGTAATAAAATGTAGGTAATATAGTGATATTAAACTACTATACAAAAATCTGAAAACGTTAAGTCAGGTCCTCTGAACAGGTTCAAAAAACAAAAAAGGAGAAAAACATACAAAACAACAATTGTAGGAAAAAAAAATGTTTTTTTGAACCCGTCCAGAGGACCTGACTGAACTTTTTCAGATTTTTCTACCTGAATTATTGAGCATGCATCAGCATATGTATATAAAATGTAAATACACCAGAAAGCTGTGTGCTGCAGATGTTAACGACAGAAAAGAAAAACGTCAACATGTCTCCTTTCACAAGCCAGTGGATTTGATCTTATTTACCTCAATCATTGTGAACGTGATCCGACCAGAACTGAAGCTAATAATGGAACCATTTAAAAGCATCCTGTAAAGCTGATGTCATGGCTGTTAATTATTGAACTGGCTTTTGTGGAAGATATTGCTGTTCTGTTCTGTACATCCATGCTACATGCTTTACAGATTAAAACTGTCGGTTTCAATTTCATCTAGTTGAAGTCATAATTATTCAAGAGCATTTGCAAGAAGGTGACTGATGATTGTTCCACTTTGGAACCAGTATCCATAGCCAGTCTTTGCAACGGTCTGGCTGAGAGGGTTCAGGCCTGTGCAGAACAGGAGTGGGGCAGTGCATCACCTCGGTGCCACATTTGATGCTGCCTTTGCAATTTTTTCATTCAACCTTTTGTTTAGACAGTAAATCCCATTGAGCCTCGAGGACTCATTTACAAGAGAGATCTGATTTTAACAAAGAATGATAACAATGGACAACAGCGACAACAATAGACAAATATAAAAAGGCATACAGATTTTATTTTTTACAAATAAGATGGCAAAAAGAGTAACAAAAAACAGCTAGATTCTAAGGCGAACGTAGAAAACTAAAAACAGGAACATGTCTGCATTGGTCCCTGCCAGGAGTCCAACAGATTCTTAAAGCCACTTAGAGAGGTCAAGGTCGAGAGCTTCAAATCTTTTTACAAGATATTCCAGGAAACAGGAGTGGAGTAGGAGAAGGCCCTTTTGCCTAGTTCAGTCCTCACTGAGTGAACACTGCAGGTAATAATGTCCTGAGAGCGCACGCTGTAGCTGCAC